GGATTTAGGCTGAATTCAGACCTCTAAGCCCAGGACAGCTGGATCTATAATGTCCACACTCAATCAGCTGCAGTTCTGCATGTATAACCTAAGTCTGGAAGTACTTTTAAGTTTATTCTCTGTGCAGCGTGTATCTCAATATGGTTTAAAAATTCCTTTACATGACTAAAGTCAGTTGATGCAGAAGAGAAGCAACTCATCTAGGCTCCTCGTAAGTTCTGTTACAGTCTAAAGATAAGAACAGGTATTTAATCTCTCTCTTAGAACCTGGATGGACCCATTCCTCTGCTATTCGCAGAAACCATAATACTTGCAGATGTGACTGATTTCAGCAAAGTCTGGCAGCAACGGTCATCTTCATAAAACAGGTGGAAGTGAGAAAGACTTGCCTTCTGGTTAGAGGAAAGACTGACGATACGAGGTTGAACCTCAGTTTGAACGCAAAAGACTCAAATTGAAATCCCTCAACTCCTACAAGTGTGACCTGTCCGCTATGCAGTAGAATAGTCTGGGTTACCACCCCTTCCAATACTGGATCAAAACTAAGGCTATCAGACCAGAAAGGTGGTGTGTGCTTGTGTGGAGGGCAGCGGCTGGGGGTGTCACACAAGAAAAACACTATCAACACTATCTCACTCCATAGCCAGCTTCGGTTGAGGGGATTCAGCTTGCGAAGGGAACTCTGTGAGGGTTTTTTCTGACCACCAAGCAAATATGCAACACACCGGCAAACACATTTTAAAGAGAATATTTCCTGGGTGGATAGGCACATGAAATGCAGAACAACTCCTGTCCTGAAAATAAATGAGCAAACTTTCTTAACCAAATTTACTTAGGCTCCAAAGAGAAGCAGAAATCAAAATACACCCTGTGCTTAAAGCTTCCTACTGGTTAGCACAAGGCAAGGCACCTCAGCGCACCCCCTCTTTAGGCTCACCTACTGAAGGTATGTGTTTTGCATCAGTGATAGTAGATGCTGTGAATCATCAACACTTAGTATTTGAGCACAGCAATACGATATAGAGGTGTAGGTGGGAACTCTGAATTCTACCCACTGAGCTCAGGTCAGCCTAGTACACTCCTCTCGAACAGTTTAAGAATTTCTTCATGTTTCCTTTTAATTAAGTCTTTACCATCCAGTATTATTACTTTTCACTTGCACACCAAAACGTGTGTACACTAATACATCAGAAAAAACTCTTTCTGTAGGTGTTATTGTTTGAAAGGCTGTACTACTTTCTTTCAGTCTTATGCATATCTTTCTTACTATCAAATACTTGCAAAAATTGACTCAGATTAAAAAAATAATCCAATGTATGTTTGTATAATGAACTTAAAAGACCAGTTCTTTTCATATTTCAGCTTGTTGTTGTATAGGGTTTGCGTGGCAAGGTTTTGGTAGCAGGGGGGCTACAGGGGTGGCTTCTGTGAGAAGATGCCAGAAGCTTCCCCCATGTCCAACAGAGTCAATGCCAGCCGGCCCCAAGACTGACCTGCCGCTGACCAAAGCTGAGCCCATCAGCAACAGTGGTAGAGCCTCTCAGATTACATATTTAAGAAGGGGAAAAAAACTGCTGCGCAACTGCAGCCAAAGAGAGGAGTGAGAATATGTGAGAGGAACAACTGTGCAGACACCAAGGTGAATGAAGAAGGAGGGGGAGGAGGTGCTCCAGGTGCCAGAGCAGAGATTCCTCTGCAGCCTGTGGTGAAGACCATGGTGAGGCAGGCTGTCCCCCTGCAGCCCATGGGGGTTTAAGGGGGGGGATATTCACCTGCAGCCCATGGAGGACCCCACACTGAAGCAGGCAAATGTGCCTGAAGGAGGCTGTGACCCCATGGGAAGCCCACACTGGAGCAGGCTCCTGGCAGGACCTCTGGACCCATGGAGAGAAGCCCATGCTGGAGCAGGTTTGCTGGCAGGACCAAGGTGAACCTACCACAGTTGTACAAAAGTAATTCTGATTCCAGTGACCTCATTAAGTAATGTGACTATCAGCCACTAAGAGTATGATCCAAAGTCACTGATAACCAAGGTAGACAGGTCTTTGGGAGACTGTACTCTTTGTTCCAGTACTCACTTTAAGCCTGATTCAAACTAAGTAGGGATTATAAACATTGTATTTTGTAAATTCAAGAAAGAGTATCTGTTAAAAATTTCCATAGTTAAAATAATGTTGTAATTTAGGTAAGATTTATGAAGTAAAGTCTATACACCAAACTGAATGAAAGGCAGAGCAAATGACACCCCAACATATCAGCAGGTGAGTAGAAAACAAATCACTTGGCTATAAATTCCCTACTGTATTGTGGAGTCCTTCAGTGAAACCAGCTCGTTAGCACAAGGCAAGGCTGGGGACTCATCACCAACACAAAGTCAAACCTCCTTACAGTGTTACCTTCTGACACCCAGATCATCTCTCCTTCCTGCAGGAGACCCACTGGTACCTCAACTCAAGTGCTGGAGAGAAGTGTACAATGCCTTTATTTTATTTATTTATTTATTTTAAATAAATCAAACTCTACCAAGCCAGTCAGACTCTGCTAGAAATCTGGTGATTTTTCAGTTCACTATCTTGCCATATTCAACAATGACAATGAAATATCAAAGCAATTATATACTCAAACTTCATAAAATTCCACAATTTAATTACTACACAGTAATGAGTAAAAGCATCTACTGTCACAACATTTCATATTTCTGCATGTTAGATAAAAATGTATCAAATTCAAAAATGTTGGATCCAATTAAATATTTTTTTAAATTGCATTTTAAGTCTTAAATCACACATTTAAAGATACTGCTATTCGGTCATTTAGCAAAATTAAATTGTACAGCTAAGAAATTAAACATAAGGCCCATATCTGGGTTATATTCCCTTGGCATTGTATATCAAAGTCTATACACCATTAACAATTTTTTTTCTAATTGCCTCAGAAATTGAAGTATTTATACAAAGATGCATCACATTTCACATCGAACAACTAACATCCTTCTATTCCAGACAAGGAGAGGAAGCTTGAAAGACACAATGTCTTTCTTTCATATACACACACAAACCTGAACACAAACAAATACAACCAATTTCACCAAATACTTCATCCTGATACCAATAGTTCTGGTTAAAGCAATGGCTCTGAACTATCGTCTGTGCAAGAAGTGCTGGAGGAGCAAAGGGAAGCAGAAAGAAAAGGAATATATGAAATACCCTTTTTTTTTCCATAAGGAAGACAAGAAATATTTTGGCAAACGCTGCATTGAAGGCTTAAATTATAGGAATGCATAGGAAAAAAAACATAACTGTTCTATCTCTCTCTATTAGAAGTGTCCAATTTCTGGTATTGAAAAAATGAAGGAAGAATCATTTTTAAATATTTTCGCAGGAAGAAGTAAATATTTTCAGAAGTAAATGTTTGTTTGTTTGTTTTTTTAAGCTGCTATACTATGTTTACTATCCATTTGGTGATGTAATTTAAACGAAACAAGCTTATTCACGTCAAACGTGAAATACAAAATTTTCTCTGCAATGGTCTCTGAAGGCAACAGAACATCAATACAAAATTTGGATGTTTTCTTTTTAACCTCCATGTAATTGCATCTTGTTTCCCTGTATTTAATGTTTCTGTGCATTACATACAAATAAAAGAACTACTAAAAAGCATGGATATTTTCATTTCTCAGACTCATACTAGATCTTTAAGGCCTTCTTTTAAGGAGGAGGTCCTAAGTGATTAAATACTGGACAGGTATCAATGTCTTATATTCCGATATAAAATGAGAAACAAAATAGCTCCTTATTTGGTAACATCATTAAGGATTTAAAGCAGTATTCATCTCTATAGCTTATCCTTTGAGACAAGAACGTGGCATGGGGTGGAAACATACCTTGTTAATAAATAGAATACTTTAAAATGTACAGCAGTTGTAGAAAAATGTCAGACTCAAATACATCTGTTCCAGAAAGCATCATGTAAATATTTCTACTTGATTTTTTTTTTTTGGTTCAATGACATTACATTGTATAAAGTATCATTCATAGCTTAACTTGATACCATGAAAATATTATGAATCTCAATCACATTCCAGTGGAATATACTATTAAAGTTAACTCTAATAATCATTTTATGATTATTCTGTTAGATGACTACACTGAAATACAATTAAGTATATGCCATGATGTCATAGGCACAAAAAACCCCAATCTGCAGTCTGCATTCTACCATATATGCACGTTTTCTTTAGTAATAAATCAACAACATTCATAAATCATATGAAATTTTCTCATTTTTCAAAAATATAAATTTAGATTACTTATCATACAGGAAAACTTCTTAAATGTTCTTTACCTTTTCCAGTTCAGTTCTTATCAGGCTTCATAAACTGCCTCCTAAAGCTAACTTCTCATGTTCAGCATCTGCCCTTTAAGCACGTAATTCTGAGCCATTTAAATTGCTCAGGCAACTTAAAGGAAGTTTTGCCTGAGAAATAACTACAGAGCTGGATGTTCATCTTAAAGAGTTTTTTGTTTCCTGCTGTTTCACAGGACAACTCCTACTTCACATCGTTTATCGTATTAGAAACATCTTCATATTGAACACCTAGATGTGTTTCTCCTGGAATCTCCATGTTTCCTCCATGACTGAGCAAGCCTTCTTTTTAACTACAAACCCCACTGTAGTGGCAACAAATTGTTATGGTGAATTTAAGATGGCAAAGCCATAAAAATAGACTCTTCAAATACCCACAGTCACATAACCTATAGTCGGTCTACATGGTACCACACTGGATAATGAAGGGAAAAAAAAAAAAAAAGCTACAGACCCCAACTGATTATTTTCTTTCCTCCAAAGAACATATCTTTTGGATTAAAAAACATAAACATAAACCATAATTTAACCTCCTACTTGACAGTGAATAATACCATAATAATATTATATTCTGCATTCAAAATATTCTTAATTTTTAATTAGCCATAAAATCACATATTTTAAAAATTACTTACATTCCGCATATTTCTGAAGCTGAGAGAACTCCCCAGGACTAAGGTTAACCCACTTCTCCTGGCTCGTCATACTGGCAGTAAGGGTCCTCGTTAAATATCAGAAAAACATTCCCTTTGACCCAGGTGATATAAACTCCATAAAGATTTGGAGCTTCAGTTCACAGTGCTTGGAGACTGGAGAGATGACATCAGTCTACGTGGATGAAGTTTTGGATGCTATAAACTGTTCCCAGTGTGTTGGTTCAGTGGTGAGTTACAGCACTGTTAAAAGAAGATCAAACATAGAAGCATAAATACTAGTTTTATTATTGAAATAATTGTAACTGATAAATATTTTCTTACATAGTTTTGCTCAAAATCTTTCCATACAATATTTGTCTATAAATAGTTTTATATGTATTTCCAAATTTTATTTTTGTAGTTCCAAATGCTTATGTGCAGCACTGATAATCAAAAATTATTGATTGTTTATGATCAAATTGTATCTGGACAGCTTGTGTGGGGATGTCTCTGTGTCTGTAACAACCACAGCAATAGTAGATACTATCTATCAGTAAACTTAGTTCCCTATGATTTTAAAATGGGATTCAGGTAACGGGGTTTGTAACCAACTACGCTGTTGTACAGTGCTGTGTGGCCTTGTCAGAAATGTTCTGAAGCTTCTAACTCCCCATGTCAAAATGAAATGGATTCTGCAGTTTGGTGAGAAATTCATATGAGAGCTACATAAATATTAACTATTCTAACAAAATAGTAGGGGTTTGATTTCTAGAATGTCACATTGCTGAAGTCACTACTGAAAATCAAATATAACTGCTGGCACCGTTGCAAATAAGTTCAGGAAAAAAAAAGACCAAACTGTGGGTGCCATCTCATTCCAATTTTATGCAGCTTTTACCTCCATAGGACAGTCCTTACAAAGGCAATGCATTACCAACACCACTCCTTGCACAACAGGTATGATACTTTTCATCTAATTTTAGCCATCTGGAAGCCAGGTACCTCATCCGAGGCTGTCATTTAGGGCTTTCTCTTTAATCAGCAGAAAGAGACAGGTGGCCCAGACAGCAATTAATCCCTCCAGTTTCAACATAATCTTAAAATGTGATGAATTGCCTTCTTGCGGTATTTAACTTTCACTATTGATTACAGAGGTTGCCTAGATGACAAGCTTGGACTAGAAAGCTAATTTTAGACCATAAGTGGAATCTCTTTATATGCCTAGCAATGTGTCATTTACAAGGGTCAGATTATAAAAAGAGCAAAGGAAAAATTCAGACCAGAAGTGCTGTGCTAAGGAGGAAGATGTTGGCGGCTAGCAGAGGAGAGAAAAAGGAGCAAAATGTCGTAAGGGGGAGAGAAAAAACAAAACAAAACAAAAAACAAAGAAATAGAGTAGCTAGGAACAGAAGCGTATGAAGAAAAACACACTAACCCAATGATAGACAACATCTTTTTTTTTTTCCGTCTCATATATATGATTATTATCCCTGGACAAAGAAATTCAGGAAGGAAGACACCTTAGTCCAAGAGCATGTTTTCATTGCTCTGAGGCTCTTCTTGGTGAATTATTTGAGTATATGTACCGATATTATGAGCAAGTAAGGTTATCCAAATACAACAACTGTGCAACAGACTACTTGGCAGCTGCCTTGTCTTTTTAAAACTGAACGAGAAGAGATTCCTACACTCTTCAACTCCTCAAGTTAGAATAAAACATAAGTATAAGTTAGAAGAGGCAACATCTAGAAACTTTGATTGAACAAATAACAAAAACTAATAAGAGCATGGAGACTGGAAGGGAAAAAGCAACATTAATGTGGATAATGTTAGCCAAGTGCAAGGCACATCAGCGTTCAAACAGCAGTGAATCAACGTCAGTGCCAGAAAAAGGGCAGTAACTACAAAAGCTAAAAGTGATATTCAAAAAGAAAAGCTATCATTCTGTCTTGAGAACCTCTTATTTACAAGAAGAGAAAATAACTATGGTCAATGGGGACATATTAATCAGAGATGTTTCATTTCTGGCAGTTGATTAGATTGAAGACAGTTTTATTCATTCAAATAGACATATTTTTCTCATATTCTTAACAATTGATTAGGTTTTACCGAAAATGGTTTTATATTTGCATAGTTGATTTAATAGAACCAAAATTTTCTACCACAATTTCATCCAGTAGTACTTTTTGTATTCTTAACTGCATTAGCTTCATTACCTGTAAAAGCTAACATTGCTGAATACTGTACAGTTAAAGATTATCTCAATTATTTAATATGAATACTTGTGACAAGCAGCCCACCATTAGAATTGCTATTGCTAGCAAGGTAATAACTGCCATGCTCTCTAAACTGATCAATCTATTCACATCCAATACCTTTAGCTGACCACTGTCTATAGGGTTTGTTGCGTACACAGGCAGTGAAAACGGATGTAGGCTCTACTGCCTATGAACAGTGTTGCAAGAAAAGGTACACGGCCTCAATGAGATGGGAGCAACAGAAAAATTTAGTCTGGGCATGGCAGCCCACAGGAAAGAACATGTAGCCTGTGTGTAAGCCAGCAGTTATCATGGAAGATATAACAGCGTTTAAGGCTACATTATTACTTTGGAAAACTCTCCAAATGCAAGTTCCTTCCTTTGAAAGGGGAGACTGTGGGTGATCTAGTGGAACTCATTTGCCAGGTTTAATCTGGGAACAGTAATGGGGAGGTAGGCAGTCCTCTGAGGATGACTTAGTCTTTGGACTGCAGCCAGGTCCTGTACACCACCTCAGTGCACATGATGCAGGAATATGCAGAAATAAAATGGAGAAAATCTCAGCAAAAGGAATCTTACAGAGGCTTCCTTTTTTAGCTTCCTATTCTGCTGCAAGGGAGTCCTAAATAAGGAAAGGTCCTTGCTCCATGCATCCTTTAGTTTTCAGTTAAACCTTTTATAGTGGCATTTTTCCATTTTATATAGATAATAATGTAGCTATAAGAAATCAAGCATATTATACAGATGCTGAGGACAAAAGTCATCAAGGCATATTTGTGTTAATATGGTGTGTGCCATTTGTTAAGGTAAACATTTCAAGATCACCTATATCTTGTACAATATCTTAATTTCTGTAGAAGAGAATATTAATTTATATTCTCTTTTTCAGTAGTGTTTAATTTAAGTGCATTCTTTTGAACTTTATTTTAGTGCTCTTTTTCTCAGTACTCCAGGAGGGTCATGCAGTGAGAAACCTATACGTAAGTACATGAAGAGGAAAGCAGTAACAGGGATAATACTATCATGCAGGTTAAAAAAAACAAAAACAAAAACAAAACAAACCACACCACACAAAAAACCTTGAACTTAAACATTAATCAAATATGCTTGCTGGCAAGCAAAATAAAGATCAGCAGCACTAAACAGACACAAACAGTGATTTGACATCTCCATGCAGAGATAAATTACTTTGAAGAACACACTACAGCATACAGTTAAAATACACAGGATGTCAGGTAGGGAACTCTTCTACTGATCCTTTAAGAGTTTGACCTGTTCCAGGAAACTCAGATCTGTGCACACATTTTGTTAGTATCTGCTTAGGCAAGATTCACAGCCCTATGAACCAGACACAAAGCAGGCCTTTACAAATAAGAGAAATTAGAAACACTACTTTAATAAACCATTCATTTTATCACAAAAAGAATTAGAAAAAAAAAATTCTTCCTCCTCTACCCACCAACAGTAATAAGTCTTAGAATTCCAGTCTCTCTTTTATAATGTGTTTTTCGTTCTGGATTTGAGGGTTTATTAAGTTTTCTGTCAGGATTCCTACCAGGCCACATACCCAAACTAGGAAGCAAAGCTTTGTTAAAAACTCTACAAATCAAATTACTTAGCATTCAGCCAACAATGCCAACAAACTTAGATTTCCAGGAATTCCTCATGCCACTGAAACCCTCAGTTGCTCTGCAGAAACAAGGCTGAAGAGAGAAGAGAAAGGAATATACAATGGAGGAAAAAACAAATACAAAGGCACATCCCCTATACGCCAACCTCAACACTCAAATCATCTCATTACACCTTGTAAAGTCCTCACTGCACGGAAAGAGGAGTTTTCAGAACGTATAGGGGGAAAAAGAATTACTTTCAGTCCTACAAAACCAATCAACAACACTGAGTTCAGCTTCAAACTTCAGTTCCAGAGGACTGTGCCCTGTGCATACATGTCCAGCTCCTCAACCAACCCAGCTCCCTCCGCTTCCTCCTTAGAGGCAGGTGGGCTTCTTCTGGGGGGCTCATCCTCACTGCCGCAACTGAAAGCATGAAACTCTTCTTAATGCATGTCTTAAGGGACTTTTCTGTGTTCACAATAACAGGGAAACCTAAAACAGCCTAGAAGCTGGCTTTTTTAATTACTCAGCCATTTTTTGCTTTCTACCAGCCCTTCCATAATGTATATCTCGCATACAGTTTCATCATTAATTGCCCATTACTCCATAAAGGGGGCACAGGGTAAGGCTGATGACAAGAAGGGGTGCAGGTGACAAAATGACAGATCTTAAGTAAGCATCTTCCATGCTACACAAGACTGAGACCTTCAAGTCCTTTTCTCCCATTTCCCTCTGATTTAGTATGCTTATGTTTTTACTGGGAAAAAAGAAAAAAAAAGAAAAAAAGGGAGAGAGAACATGAACCCTAAGGAAACAAGTTTCCTTCCAGGGAAACTACAGTTCTCCACAGCATGACTGATTAGTGATTTTTGCCCGAACAATAGGAATACATAACACGGAATATTTTATACCTCAATAGCTATGAAGGCTGAAGTAATTATGCTTTTAAAGAATTTTTCTGTACAGAATGTACTTGGTATTTCCTTCAGTTGGGTCCTACACCTTCACCACAGTTAGCTAGATCCTGTGATTTCAATGTGAGTGACATCATGGATTTTCCAAAGGAGAATTTTTGCATGTGATACTACATGCTGACACATACACATACACATGAAACAGTTTTCTGTATTAACTCCTGCAACCAGTTCAGAAAGCAAGTATGTTGTTTTTAGTGAAAGACCAAAGCATCTTTCCTCCGA